TTGAAGGCGACAACATTAATGTAGACGAATAAATAAATATTTGTTTCAAAAAACGAAAATTTCCGATATTTTCTGAACACACCTCGTACATTAACATTAGTCAATGCAATTATTCTTAAATTCAATAAACAGTGTTCATCAATATGATGAAATTTGATTAATACTTTAAACGTTGAGTGAAGAAGTAAGTCAATGCTTTAAATGTATCAATTTTCATTATATTTTCATTATATTGATGAACTTGTTCATCGGCTCAAAATTAATAACACTATTCATTGATCAATTAATGAAAATTTTCATTGTATTTATGTCCACTTTTGGTTCAGTATGTGCAATTCGTTTTTAAAACTTCTCTAAAATCCAACTGCTTTGCATAATATTTTAGACTATTTGTTGCCTACATTGTGTATTACACAATGTGTAAGACTGCAGCTAATACGGCAATATTAATAGACTAGGTACTTAACTTGTTTAGTTGATAGTTTTTCATTTTTATGGTGTACAAATTACATGTCAAGGGATTTATGTATACCGACGTGGTATTTTTTCTAATTACCCAACAAGTGACAGGTATTTTATAGTATACAGGAAATTATGAGAAATGTTCAGTAAATTATAACGGAGATAAGGCTTATCACAAGCCATACATTTTTGCTAATTAAAGTTTAAAACTGTACGTTTGTATTTATGATGTAGTTGGTAACACCTGCGATAGATAATTTGAATGCATTATTTTTTGTAGGTGTACTTAAATAGCATTTTTATGATGACCTGTCTTATAATTAATTAAAATTGTTTTTTACAAAATACATAGGCAATTAATTTCTTGCAGTATTAAAATTAACTCTGCAAAAAGCAAATTAAAATCAAATATCATAGATCGTCATCATCAGATTCCGTTGTATATGCAAATGTGTTCAATGATCCGACTTTTCACACACAAGATGCGCTCAATTTAAAATAGAAATAATAATAATCAATTAAAAATAAAAAGAGTAAAACTGGTCAACACATACAAAGTTACTGACAAGTCTAAAATCATGTTATGTAAGGACCCAGAGTTCTGTCTTTTAATCGGTTTGGGTTGATATATCGACTAAAAAACTGATCCTTTTAGATAATTTGGGCAAACCTTTCCTTAGGACAATAAAAAATTATTACTTTTTTACAAGTTTGAATCTGGGTTAAAATCATTAAAGTAAATTTCTTTAAAAATAAGTATAATTTATAAGGGTCTAAAATTATCCAACTGGTGATTCCGCTGTAGACGATTCTAGATATCTTGTTTTCAAGATATTGCCAAAAACCATTTTTTTTCGACATGCAAACCTTAAAATTTGTATACGAGGTGTGTTCAGAAAATATCGGGAATTTTCGTTTTTTGAAACAAATATTTATTTATTCGTGTACATTAATGTCGTCGCCTTCAAAATAGTCCCCATTGGATATTATGCACATGTTCCAGCTCTTCTTCCAATACTCGAAACACTTCTAAAACTCGATCTTTGAGATAGCCTTTAGTTCTTTCAGCGATGCGCTTTTAATGTCATCTATGCTTGCAAAACGACGGCCCTTCAAGGTTCTCTTTATTTTAGGAAATAGAGGCTGGGGCATCATTACAGTATTGTTTTTGGCCGAAAATTGTATTCAAAATTTAACAATTTTGGAACAAATTTTGTTGTCACGCCTTTCATACCCAAAACATTTGAAAAAATTTTATGGGATGAGCCAATCGATATACATCATCGACTTCTCTGATGGTTTATAACCATCTCTTCCACTTTTTCCAATGTTTTTATCGGTTGTTAATGTGCTTGTGCGTTCGGGGCGTTCGTTATCTTCAACGTCTTCACGGCCATCTTGGAAACTCTTATACCACTTGTAAACTCTTGTTTTACTTATAGCAGACTCACTATAGGCCTTTGTTAACATTTCACAGAATTTATTTAATTATTTAAGCAAAATTGGATACAAATGGATCAAAGACCATTTCTTTTAAAAAACGAAAATAGCCGAGCTCATAAAACACGTCTAACCTTAGCGGCTGCCACATACTTCGGGGGCATGTATACCAACATAATAAATAAAATTTTATTACAACCGGACCCTCCGAAGCCGCGAAATTTAACAATTCTCGTTATTTTCTGAACACACCTCGTCTATATTTTGTTAATCAAATAGTTAAACCAAGGATTCGTAATGTAGCCATGGGCTCTTATTAAAATTTAAAAAAAATATTCCAATTTATACAGATATTTTACTTAAAAATCCTGTTTTTAACAAAATAAAATCTTTTTTTAGCAGAAATTTTACAGTTCAATGTGCTGTAACATGAACAATTGTGAAAATTATTTTATTATCTCAATACAAAAATACAAAAGTATTAAATAGTTTATCAACGCCAATATTTGAAAAGTTTATTATATGAACATTGTACTGACCTTTTAATTTCGCCGGCAGTAAACTATAACCTAAATTTGGGCACGGACTTCACTGTAAAGTGCTCATAAAATATTTTCTTTACTTTCACTGTGAAAAACTGTCAATTTTCAAGAAATACATTTCGATTTATAACCTTTATAATCTGTGTTTATAAACTATAAAAATTTGACATTTGACACACAGATTCCCCTATTGTTTCATAGATGGCGCTCTATACAAATTTTTGATTTAAATCAATTTAAGATAATAATAAGTATTTGTTGTAGAAAAAGTATAGTATGCACCTCGTTTATAAACTTTTCTATACAAAAAAAAGTTTATATACAAAAGTGCTCTTTTAGTTCCACCCTTACTTCCTTAGGGGTAGGAACACTGTGCCTAAATTAAATTCGTGTATAAAATGGCGTTTATCAAACTTGATACATAATAATTAAAAATAAACCAGACGAACCTTTAAAAGGTTGGGTCTATTGAAGATAATTGTTAAATATAATTTGCTTTAAAACTTAACTAACCATTAACATATACACTCTTCTAGGTCGTATTCATTCCAGACGGATTTATTTTATTGGACTGTTTAACATGCTTGCGAATATTCTGATTTATTGGTTCGAATTGAGATTCATTTAAAAACAGGACGTCAAGAATAAGCAGCTATAACATTGTTTATTGCTTCGATTAAATTGCAGTAAAATAAGCTTGCTCGTTCTGGTGAATTTCTCAAACAAGTTTTACTACACATAGGATTTAACACTGTTTAAAAATAAATTTTTATACCTACCTACTTATGTTTAAACGTGGTTTTACGAAAGATAATAAAGTTTCAGTGCCTTTAAATGCAAATAATAAAACTTTCGGTATTTTTCTATGAAATAAGTAAATTTAAAAAACTTTAATATTTTAGGACTTGAGTTTTTGTGACAACACTAAATTTCCGAAGTAAAACTGTTTAAATTTAATATTAGGGGAGTTTGAGGTAAATACCGCTTAACTTTTTCATTGGTTGTTTGTACATTCAGATTAATTTATTTTTTAAAGACAGTTTTGAAACTTTTAAAATTAATGTAGGTAATTAATTATTTTTAGACAATTAAAATTTTGTTTTTATGTTAAACTAAACTTTAAAAATAATAAGCTCTAAAGGAATTTTTGAAAGTGTTTTCGAATTCTCATCATATCGTAGCATACGCCCACTAGTGTTAGGATTACGTATTAACACAAATATACTTTCAGATTTATTTGCTCACCAATTAATTCGATTAAATTCTGCGACGAGAAGGGTCTATTGGCAGTTATTTGCCATACTTTACGATCCGGAAGCCACTATTGGAAATTTACGAGATATATCCGTGATCATTATATGCTTAATTGACTTTTGGTTTCGTTTGTGTAGTTTAGTCAAGCGTTTATTTACGTACTAAAAGAAGATTATTTCTAGTAAATTAATTATTCTATATCTTTTCAACTTCAAATTGAGACTAATCACATTGGTATAATTATTATCACATGTTGGGATTTAATATTCAAAATAAGAATAATAGTATATTATGTATCAACTTGATACTATCAAGTTTGATAAACGCCATTTTATACTCGAATTTAATTTAGTTAAAGGTAATTAAGTTTATGAGTGTATAGAAAAGTTTATAAACGAGGTGCATACTATACTTTTTCTACGAAAAATACTTATTATTATCTTAAAATGATTTAAATCAAAAATTTCTATAGAGCGCCATCTATGAAACAATAGGGGAATCTGTGTGTCACCGTCAAATGTCAAATTTTTATATTTTATAAAGGTTATAAATCGAAATGTATTTCTTTAAAATAGACGGTTTTTCACAGTGAAAGTAAAGAAAATGTTTTATGAGCACTTTACAGTGGAGTCCGTGCCCGAATTTAAGTATAGTTTACTGCCGGCGAAATTAAAAGGTCAGTACAATGTTCATATAAACTTTTCAAATATTGGCGTTGAGAAACTATTTAATATTTTTGTATTGAGATAATAAAATAATTTTCACATTTAGTATTATTTTACAAGAAAGGCACTTTATTTTAAGGACGTATGACATTTGACAAATGTCAACTAACTTAAAACTAACTTCAGCCCGTGACTAAAAACCTGTTGCTAACTTCAGCCCGTGACTAAAGCGCCGTAAAGTCACAACTTGTCAATGTGTATTTAAAAGGTCACTTAGTGTCATGGAAACATGTACGATAAAGGGCGTTTTAAAGGTGGGAGTAGAAAAACAAATTTAACATAACATTTGATGTTGAAAGGGTAAAATAAAGATTAGATAAGTTTGTCCTCAAATGAATTTCAATAAACATTTTCAGTTGTTAAACCCTAAAACACTAAAACGGGTTTTCTAAAAATTAAAAAACCCTAAAACAGTTAAAAAACTGTGTTTTTAAAGATTAACGGTTTTCAAGATTTTATTTACTTAATCACAATCATATTTTAAAAACAAAATATATACCTACTCTACTTGTTTTAAAATTCGCAAAACTATGGCAAATATTTAAATTTTAAAGTAGGAAACAAAAAATATACTTACAAGTAATCACTGTCTGTTTTAGTCTTATTTCCGCTGTCAACAGCAACACTGTGCCGTATCGGTACCCTCTTAAATGTATCTGAAAAAAAGTAATGTTATTAGGTATATTTTTTATTTAAACTTAATTTATAAAGTATATTCAACTATAGTCGATTACTAGTATATTATGTAACTAGTTTTATAAACGTCATTTAATACACAAGTTTAATTTTGCACGAACTGAGCGAGTTTTTAATAATTTAGTGATCTTTTGTAGTTTATAAAACGAATTGCATACCATACTTTATCTACTCCTATTGTATAAAATATTTTTCGTGAATAATGAATTCATTAATCACGTTGTTAGACATCAGTGATTGGCCAATTTCAATATTCACTGTGATTTGAGCCAATCGGATTTTAAATTGAGAGAAGGCGACTATAATAACATTTAAAATTGGTAACAAGTGAGGTTAACCATTTGACAAATCTATGTCAGATTTTACTTATTTATTTTTTAAAATTGTTTATTTATTTACTTATTGGAGTAAATAAAGTAAAGTATTACACTCGAGATTATGCGCATTATTCAATCGCCTGGCGACTCGAGACGCAAACCTCATCCTCTTGATTAATAATCTCATATAATAATATACTATCATTGAGTAAAGAATAATAATAATATATAATATAATAATATAATAATATAATATATATAGTAATAATATACTATCATTGAGTAAAGAAGTATCTTACTCAATGATACTATTATCTACGAATGTTTTTTATAATTTAAAGTTAATTTGACATTTTATTCTGACATCTGAAAACTATTGAGCAGTTTTCACCTCACTTTTTACAAATCTGACATCTGTTATCTTTTTTGATTTTGGAAATTTTTGTAAATTAAATTATTATTTCTATTTGAAGAGTTTCCACGTTGACACAAAAAAAGTGCTCTATTTAGTTCCATCCTTAATTCCTAAGAAGTCCCAGAAGTCAACTGAATGGCTTGTGCGGGTTAGGGGTAGGAACGGACCGCGGGCTTAAAGTCTTTTTTTAAACATTTCAAAAAATATTAGTTATATTACTTAATTTTTTATTTTGTATCTTGATTATGAGATTTCCATAAAAAATATACTATTTTGTTTCTCGAATTTGTAAAATTTTTTTGAAATAATCAATGGAAAATCTGTGGGAATGAACACTTCTGAACAAGTGTTCAAAAATTCGTTTTTAAACTCCAGAACCATGTTGATGGCTTAGAAATGAAATATTACAGTATATTTTTTATGAATGAAAACAATTGACATTTCAAATTTCGTTTTGCCAACTTAAGAAACACAAATATTTAAACCTTAATTTTACTATTAAATATAACAACAATTTAATAATTTATATTGTTACTTATTTAGTATGTTAATTTTAGTTTTTAATGAAACTTTAATTTGTAATACGTGTATTATTTTTTAATTAAAATTCAACCTTTAATTTTTACTACATTGGCACCGCTGAATTTGCTGTCTCGGCCTACTGTTATTATTTAAATGGAGATCCGGTGTTTAGTTTTGCGCTTCGTGGTGTGATGTTGCTCTATAAAAGAGTTGTAAAATATAAGTAAGGTTTCCACTGGATTTTGATTTCTGGAAACTTTCCAGAAATCAAAATGCCGTAAATAGAAGAATTAACTAGAAAATATAAAAGTATAAAAAATTATATAGAAGATTTGAACAAAATTTGTTCAAATCATTCAGCGCATTAGGTATAATTGCTAATTTATTCAAAAGTAATACGTATATTTTGTTAAATTAAATTAAAAAAGGCGAAACCCCTGAAGTATAGAAGATTTGGATTTTTGTTTTAGGAGCATAGAAGATAGAAGTTTTTGTTAAATATAGAATTCTATTAAATATTGAAGGCATGGACCTGAACCCTAAATGTAAGTGACTATAGTCTACCCAGGAGGGGCAAAATTGGATTTTTAGGGTAAATGATTTAAGGGATGAGTTTATCTTAGATTTTCTTAAATAAGACCCTTGATTAAAACAAATTTAGAAATTAATGTGCTGGTCAAATATCTTTAAGTAAGCTAAAGGCTATTAAACCTGAAGAAGAAATGGAGATGCTACCTTAAATACTACTTTTTACGTAATAGTAAGTTGTGACACAGACACATTAGTAAAAAGGTATTTGCCAGTACATATTTTCCAGATTATTTACCGGGTTTGTAAGAAATTAGCAACATAAGATTTATTTTAGTAATTCAATTCAATTTTTGTTCCACCCTTTACAGTGGAAAAAATAAGTAGTTACATATATATGCCACATGACCCATTTTGTATTTTAAAACGTGTGACCTTTTGGCAGTACGACGACATTTGTTTTTTTAAAGCATACATATTAAAAAGTGTTATATAAAGTTAGTTTGAAAGTACTAGAATTTCAAAGTAAAACCAAAATTTTTTAATGTTAAAAAATATGACCTTTGGAAAGAACACCATTTTAAAAATTTAAATGGTTCTCGAAAGTTTGAAAAAGTAAAAATTAAAGAGATAGAACTGAAAAGGGTGAAAATATTCATCTCAAAAATTGTGAGAACTTTAATAAGAAATTTTAACGTACATATAGCTATAGCCATAAAGGAGGTTCACAAATTTAAAAGAGCCACAGGAAATTTTTTCGTGGATTGCAAAACTCTTATTACTTTTTTAAGGTTTTAAAATAATAAAAAATATCAGATAAGAACAAAATGCTAATCTATATTTTATGATTGTGTACAGTGTTCAAACGTAAAGTCCATTATTCTGTGCTTATAAATATATTTGCAGCAAACTTGTCAATAACAACAGTTCGTAAGTTTATGAGTAAAATTTTTGATATATAAGACCAAATGATAATTATAAGTTATATACATAGTTCTTTTAAGTGTGATTTAAAGAAATATTTCATTTCCTTTATTCTAATTAAAAAAATATTTACCATGATATTTGGCCCTTAGCAAAGTTAAACTGCTGATAATGCTCGCCCTATGCGAAGAGTTTTTTACTCCTAAATCTTTGATTTCCGCCTCGGAAAAGTCGAGGAGGTCCTCCACTCCGATGAACTTCTGGAAGATGTATAGGTACTGCTCCAAGTAGAGCTCCCTGAGCCACACCTCGATGTCCTTGTGTTTGAGACGAACATTTTCTCTTTTAGTTTTGTTGCGGATTGGCAGGGAACCAAACCTGCTCCAGGAAAGATCTGAAAATAGAAAATAATTTTTTCAATACAACAATTATAATTACACATGTAGGTATATAGGTAGTTATTAAATATATATTTGTATTTAATAGAACAAATATTAATATTCTCTGCTATAAATTATACTTGCACTTTCTGTCCATATTCATGTTTTAATACAACACATTTAAGTGCTACACTAATAGATAAAAATATTTGTTTAATAGTTGCCAACTGTTCATAGAAAGTGTTATTTTTTTAAGTTTATCCGGTATGTTACAATTTTATGTTAACATTTTTAAAAATATGTATAATATGCTAGAAAGAAAATTGATTAATTGATTTTTTGGTTTTTTATTTTGAAATTTTAATAAACCCAGTTTAATTAAGAAATTAGTAATTAAAAATTCTTTTGAACAGTTTCATATTTAATTAATAAAGTAAATTATACCAGTGGCGGCTCGTGAGGTAGTGCCATCTTAATATTAAACTTAATGCATTTATTTTTATATGTATACATAAGGAGGAACCACGAACGGTTCGACGGCAAAGCTGTGTTTGCCCCACTGGGGTGTTGTTTTTACTTTCCCCACACTCTTAGAATCACTTAAAATGACTCATTATATGTTTTTGACTCATTGTCCCAGCGGAAAGGAAGTCGCTAATGGTTAGACACATTTTACCGTGGGTTTGGTTTAAAGTTTTTTAGAATAGTTTTTGTTTACTCACCTAAGCAATCCATAATTATAATTATCTAATTTAACTATTTAAGTAGTAGAACAGCTATTTATTGTAAACGACTATTCGTTGTTTTCTTGTTGTGGTAGAAATTGTGTTTACGTTTTCTTTTCTTATTTAAAAATTAAGAAATTGCATTTATATTTATTTTTACTGCTTCTACTATTTATTTTTCGAGAAGGTCTCGCAGTTTGCTTATTTAAGGCAAAGATTAGAAAATGGTTTTTATTACTTACATATTAAGATTTATGTGTTTATTAAGTATTACTTGTCACATCCTATACGGCAGAGTACCTAGTTTTAAGTCGAACTTGCTTTACATTTAAGTCGAATGCCTGTGCATTCGGTATTTTTAATCTATTTAATGCAGGGGTTCGTTAACCCTGTTCAACTCTTTTATTCTTTCTTGTTGATTTCTACGGATTTATCACTTCACTGATAAAAATGGTATCCTTGTGGCAAAAGAATCCATTCATTTGAAAAATATTGATTTAATTCAAAGAAACTGTATTTATTTTAAATCCGTTTCCCTTCGGTTAAGATAATTGCTGCATTTAGGTGTAATTCTCGATTCTTTTGACATTTAATTACTTTAAGCCAAAGTAAAGGCATTTAGACAAAAGAAATCTTCAATTCATGTCTTTCTGTCAAAATTTAATGTTATTGCTAGAAATCCCACGGTTTTGTGCCAAACTACACTGATAAACATGGATTATTTTAGGCAAAAGAATCCATTCATTTGAAAATTATTCTTTTAGTTTAAAGAAAGTTAACTTTTTGCAAATTCTTTGGCATTTGACTAAAATAGGTGATGCATTTAAGGCAAACTCTTGATTCTTTTGGCTAAATCCTTTTTAATAACTTTATTTCAAGAACAAAGCATTTGTCGGAAATCACTCGGTAATTTGATAGTTCTTGCAACAATGAGTGTCCTTCAGTATCAGTCCACGCGTCGCGTCCACAGTACTTCGTCAAAGGTGTTCATCTCGCGCGAATAAATAACTAGTGTGATACTTTTTCTATGGCTATAAATCAAGATTATTTGTACCATAGTGTTATAGATCGAGATTATGGGTACCATAAAGGAACTGCTTAAACTTTGGGATTATTCATTTATTTCCAAAATTTGGAGGTTAAATTTTATAGGTAATGTATTCTTATTTTTAAAATTTTAATCGATTAGGAATGTAATAAAGAAAAATACCTAATTAATAAGCTAAAATCGACTAAAATATAATTATTTCATGCAAATATTATCATTCTGTAAAACGCTTTCTTAGAACAGGAAAATAAAAATGGCTACCTATACCTTCTCCCAAAGATTAAAATTTTGTAAGAAAATAATGCGGTATTTGTCAATATGTTTTAAGACTTTAACACAAAACCATCCTAATATTGAATTAATTTCCGTGCATTTGAGCCAAAACCTACATGTCAGCAAGTCATGTCCTCCATAGATAAATCACACATATATGTAGGTTTTGGCTCAAATGCACTGGGATTAATTCAATATTAGGATGGTTTTGTGTTAAAGTCTTAAAACATATTGACAAATAAGTACTTACGGCATTATTTTCCAAAAAAATTAATCTTTGGGAGGAGAATATATCCTTCTATTTCTTGACAGATATCCAGAGGCGGATTTCTAAAAAGGCCAGCTAGACCATAGCCTACGGCTGCAAGGTGGAAATTTCTTTGAGTTTAAGAATAATCATTTTTTTGTATTTTGTATAAACAATGTATTTTATGTTTATGAGTGAAAGAATAATCAGTTTTTTTGTATTTTGTATAAACAATGTATTTTATGTTTATAACTGTATAAACAATGTCTTTTATATTTTTAATAAAAATATGTTTTTAGTAAAAATTATTGTAGTTTTTTTTAATTTAGGCAGGCAATTTTCTAAAATCAAAGAGTTTCAGCTAAAGACATTCGGGCTTTGTTTCAAATGCCCATAGATTAAGAGCAAGAAATCCGAGTTTTGATACAAATAACAAAAGTTTTTTAATCAAACGCTTATAGATTTGAAATCAAAACTCGGATTTTGTTACAAAAAATTAAATCACTTAACTTAAATGCCAATAGATTTAAATCGAGACATCCGACTTTTGCTACAAATTCCTAATTCTTTAAGAACAAGAACCTAAGATTTTGTAGTAAGCCCGCTTTTCTTTATTTCAATTTACTTAAGCCTTTGATCCAAATCAGTACCGGGTTATTAATAAAAGCACGGCATTTAAGGACCTATAACGAAGATCTTCTTCTAAATTCATGTTTCTTTGCAACAAAGACAAATCATGAAATGATCTCAAAGAAATGACGTATTTGCTTTAAACCCTTCATTCATTTGGACCTATCCAAAGTCCCCATTCCTTTGAGGGAATGGCAGATTTCCTTGGGGCAAAGGTTTATTTTTTTCAGTGTTGGAAAGGTATAAGTACACCCGTAGTCTCGGTGAATTCTTATTTACGCAAATAGCAACGTGCAAATATTCAAAAACTTATCTAAATATGTCTTCTTGTCCCCTTGTAATTGGTCTCTTCCAGGTTCATGCAGCGATGAACCACCTGTTCAGGTGGGTGGTTCCGTGACTAGGACAGGTGGAGTGGCAATTCACTTCGCGCTTTTAAACTTTTAGATTTAGGTTTTAAAATGCGCTGATTATGCACTGTATACTTGTTTATAGTTCAGAGTGGATAAACTAGTACGTCACGCACGTAGGAGCGATGATTTTGTACTAAATCAATCATACTATACATATACTATGTTAAAAATAATTGGTTGTGTGGTTGCGACAAAACTTTTGCTTTTGCACCATCTGCCAACATTCTGGCACTACCTTCTTAGATTTATACGAGCCACCACTGCATTATAGACCAGACGCATAGCCGAGACAATAGATTGTGTACGTGCCAATTAATAAGCTTTGGCCGTCGTGTTTTATATACTTACTTTTTTTAAGCGTTTAATTGATATAATTCTTTGAGATTTTGTAATATCATTTTTAGGTTAGGTTCAAATGACAGTTAAGCTTCATTATTGTACGTCGGTGTATAATAACTTTTGAACTATAGTACTATAGTACAACCATGTCTTTCTATATAGACTTATGTTGGGTTCAACAGTTGGCATTTAAGGTTCAACAGTTGGCATTTAAGATTCTACATCGGTATATAATAATTTGAATTCTGAACTAGTACTAACATAAATTTTTTACTATTTAATTATAGAATTTGCAATTATAGACTTTTATGTGTGTTTTGAAAACCCTCACACCATCATCAATCATAATTTTTTGTTTTTCCCTTTTGTAGGTACCTGTACATAATTTTTTTTTCTTTCAAAATCTAGCTCTTTGATTTTTTACATAAGAGAAAAATGATAACGTGATAACAAAAAATTGCCTGCCACCCCTCGTCATCATTCGCAAGCCCTGCACCCCTCTGAATGCTGACGCCTTGAAAATACATTTTTTTAATAGAAGTTAACTCGAGTTAACTACTATAACTACTATAACTACTACATATATGTATACTGTAATAAACTTTATATTTACATTTTAATATGCGTATCCAAACAATACAACGAAACATAAAAATTAACATATTTTGTGTACAAAACTTATGACGCAATTATGAATAAAACATGTTTAGAACAACTAAATTATAATTTATTGTTATGTAGACTTAAGTATAATATACTGATATTTTCAAAAAATGCTAATGCAAAGGTAAATAATACTTTTAATTTAAGTTATACACATGGCGTCATTTTTTAATATTATGATTAAATATAATCTAATAATTTATAATCTATTTTTGTGATAAATATTTTTATAAAAAGTATATAATAGTATATTATGTATCAAGGTTGATAAACGCCATTTTATACACGAATTTAATTTAGGCACGAGCGAGCTTGCGATTTAGCCATTGCCATTTAGTATTATTTTACAAGAAAGGCACTTTATTTTAACGATTGGATGACATTTGACAACTGTAAACGAACTTAAAACTAACAATTACAAAAATTTACGTATTTTGTTTGACCGACTAGTTGTTTATAGGTAATTATTTAAAAAAATCCCTTTTGGGGACAAACCCGACATGTTTTTATTGATATACTACATACAAAGAACGGACTGGGTAATATTTAACTAAGTAGAGTTGCGACTTGAAAAACTTTATAAGAAATTCTGTTTACCTTAATTACATTTAATTCTATTCAAATTGTATAAATAAATCGAAAATGTACTATTTTTTACTCTTAAATAACTTTAATAATGTTGATATTTAAATCTTTATTAGTCCTCTGTGCGGCCGAGATCTGCCGTATCATGCATTTCTTTTCTTCCGAATGCGTTATCTCTTTAAAGTTTTACACACACTGCAAGTTTTTAAAGTCTCTAGCTAGATTTGCCGAGTTGTAAAACCACTTAAACCATTTGAACAGTTTCCATAGAATGTATTCAAAATTTAAAATAAACTAAATAATCAATTTTTAAGCTATCAACATGATCCTATTTTGTTTCACGAGTTTGGAAATGAATTTTTGAAATTTGCTGTCAAGGTGTACTGTTATTTATTTATCAAACTCTTTAAATGTAGATAGGTACTACCTTAAAGGGTTAAAAAACACATTTAGAAAACTAAATGGCTCATTGTTGCACTTACTATGTAAACTGGACCTCTTCTTAAGTTTGCTGGCATTTTTTCCCATTGTAAACTACACAACTCACATAACTCACTGTTTTTTAACAGATTAGATAACAAGGATATGCCTGTAAAAGTTTAAATTATTAAACACCTAGTCACTAATGGACACACAAAAAATAAACAGATAACTTCCATTTTTAAAACATTATGTACTATTCAAATATGTAAGTCATTAAGTAAAGTTAGTATAAACTGAAATATTTTTGTGTAAATAATGTGGGATTTTTAATATTTATTTATTTTTTATCCTTCCAAATAAATATTCATCATTTAAAATAAAATATGGACCAATAAAAAACCATAAAAGCATTTTATGGCGTGATGAACATTTATAACAATTTAAGTAGTGACAGGTTGACCACCCACTGATGTGTATGTCATTATGCAGTACCTCCAACAACAAAAAAGAAAAGTAGATTGCTTATTAGCACAAAATCCATATATTTTCAATCATAATATGATATTATGCTTTTAGATGACCTTCGGCTATACTTATATTATAAAAGGTGTTTTCTGATTTAATGTTTTGCGGTTATTATTTATGATGTGTAAATAAAAGACACCATAAAACAATACAAAAAAAGGAAGATGGAACATAAAACCACAGTTAAATACATTTCTTGCATATCCGGCACAAACAAAATAGAAGTGACGTTAATGTTAGATGTGTGAAATGTATTAAGTTTCATAAAGTACATGCTTAAACAAACAATATTTAAAAGGGAACTTTTGTATTTGTTTAATTTTTCTAGTTTAAATAAGTTAAGCTTGTTATGGTTTGATGTAGTGATGATGAAAGAGATGTTTTAGGAGACAAGGTTTTGTTAAATTATGTATTTAGGTATGATTTGAATAAACGTAACAAACGAATATATTGCACAATATCGCGTTTTATAAAATAAAATAAACGGCTTAGCGTTAGAGTCTTAAATATAATTAGTTAGTGATATTTACATTTTTATTAAAGAATTATTATTACTCACATACAATTTAAGTAGTAGGTAATACACTGAATATATTTAATATTTTTATCAATAAAAAAAGTAAACAGTAAACAAGATAAGCAACCATATGCTAATACCCTTTAACAAATTTATAAATACATTTATTAATAAAAGGTAAAGTATTATTAAAGCGTAATTAATATTGTATACTTTATTTTCTAAAATGTTCCCAAAATGTAACGGGTGCGACTTTTGAACATTTTATCGAGTATTGAAACTCTTCTGTGTTTATTCTTATTTTAAGGTTATAAATTACGTCGCAATTAAACTATTTGACTTCAGATATAGTTGTTATTTTGTTAAATATCAATCTGATTTTTTGTAAAGGTGGGGTAAAGTTTTTTGGAAATACCCAAAAGTCGGCAGTCGTAAAAATGATGTTTTTAAAGGGTTCAGGAAAAGAACCGGCTCAGTCAAAAAGTAATTTTTAGATATTCTGTCATCTGATGTGATCTCATCTGAAAATTGTTGGCTCCTATCATGGCTACTATTAAAGCAAGAAAAAAATAGACTCAATAAACTTTATAAAAATGCTATGGAATCACTAATTAACACTTTAATGCTTACTTTCTCAAAACTACTGTAATCAAAATTTTTCACAAACAACCCACCTAGATCCGCTAATTTATTTGAACTCAGCAACTCTGTGAATTTCATGATTTATAATAATTATTATTTATCATGACACGCGAGCGAAGTGGAAAGAAGGCGAGTTTATAATCGACAATATTTTACGAGCTCTTCATATTATTTTATCCCTTCAATCAAAAATGAAATAAAAATTAAATGATTTGGCCTTAATTGTATTGTTGACACTGTCAACTTGATAGTTTAATTTTGAGGTTAAGTTTTCTAAAATGTAACAAATGTTTAAAATCTTTTTTTTTGTAAATATTTTTATCTGTATGTAAAAATGATTCTAATTTATTGTTTGACTATTTAACTTTAAATATAGCAAAACAAGCCATAACTTAAAAAACCCAAGAAAAAAATTACTAATTATTTGTAATAACTTATTAGACCAGAGATATAATTAAACTATCTAACCAATTTTTACAAACGGGGTGCGAGAAAAAGGAAAAACTAAACCTTTTATATTTCAGCAGATTTATTAATAAATCCTAAAAATAATATAACATCCTATTATAGGGTGGTAGGGTGTTTCTGTAGAGAAGCAATATTTGGACATATTGCTACATTTGAAAAGCTTTTTAAATGTATAAAGTCTTTCAGAATTAAAATATAAATTATGTTGTGGTTTTTAGCAACACGATCTTTAGAAATCGCCGTCTTTCGCCACCAGATATTTACACTCTTTTTCATGACAAGCGCAACATTATTTTTTCTAACCCATGCATTTAAAAGTGTTGTTTTGATGACGTAGCAACCGCAAATTGTAGTTTGAAGACCAGCTTTAATTTATATAAATAATTTTAATTATAATTAAGTAGCTTTATAAAACACTGTTTCATATTACGAACTCTATTTATTATACTTTTGTTATTCTGTATGCCTATTTTTTATATATGTATACTTTAATTAAATTTATGAAAATAATTAAATTAAAAAAGAGATAACAATGACAACATGGTTCTTTTATAATTTGACATAAAATATTAATAAAAATAATTTAATTTTAAAATTTAAAATATAATATTAATTTTCTATTGATATTCCTATTCTATAGTTTAGGTTCCTCGACATCATAATTTTATACTTCCTTTCGCTAATTTAATTAACTTAATTATCATAAAATGAAAATGTGACCATTTTAAATTCGACACCAATGTTGATTATTAGATTAAACAAATTATAATATTGTAATGAAATATAATATACATATTTGTGAAATTGTTATAAAAAAAAATTAAGTTATTTTGTTTAACCCTTATTAAAATTAGGCAAATTCTCAACATAAATTGCAAACAAATTTTATTTTACTTTAATTGGAATGGGTATAGTTCAATTTGGTAATTGAACTAGATTGGTTTAATAAATATTGATATTATTGACATCACAAAACGTTAAATAAATTGCTTAAATAAAAAAAAAATCATTTTAAAATCATTACTAAATAAATTATAAACGTCACTGCAAATTTTAATCTACGTAATATGCAATTTTCTTATTTTCCGCTTTTCGCTCAAAAATATCCACAATTCGAGTGCACTTTACTCCGTCTTGTGTTCCTTTGAGATGAGGCGCATCGAGAGTCTCTTTTCACTAGGCCACATCTCGAGTAACATAAAGACGACCGCTGTAACTATTTAGCATTGATTGTTATTTCAAGAGAGTGAGTAATACTTCAAATTTTCTAAAACGTAAAGTTAAGTTTAAAGAAGAAACTACTTGTCAACCCCTTATTTCACTTTGGTACGCACTTGCCATAAAGTCGATTTATAAAAATAGGAAATTCAAAAATGGTACTCTATTTATAAAAGATAATTAATATTTTGAATTGAAAATAGGTGGATTACTATTCTGCGCATCCATGGTTAGTGTTGTATCTTCACCGTGTAGATAATACCTTTTTCTCACCGCTACCACTGTATCTCGCCACTTTATAAGAGGGAAAACAGTATGGCTACCCGGCACTGATCCAAAAGACCGAAACAGGTTGTCCGCCGGTGCCTGTTTCTGGAGGCACACTTGAAACAAAAGTGCAAAGGCAAGGTAAAAGGTCACTCTCTAAAAATGAATTAGTCAAAAATGACTAGTTTAATAGTTATTAGTGCACTAATGGTTGCTTTTTCACTTGTACCATGGTATCCCAAAATTTAACAGAAAATCCTTATGTAAAATTGTCCCCTGAATTCGAAAATGTTGTCAAAAGTTAAAAAATTAGAACAGTTATTGATATATAGTCAATTTTCTATTTAATATGGAATTAACTATATCTCAAAAACTGCTCCACAATTTTTGACGGTATTTTCGGATTCAGAGGACAATTTTACATAATAATTGGCTGTTAAATGTTGGGATACCATGGTATTCCATGGCTAACCATGGTACACGTGAAAAACCAGCCACTAATAACTATTAAATTAGTCATTTTTGACAGTTCTTAAACTTAAACTTTCTACATCCCATGGTAGTCCTTAGACACCCTTTTAAAATCCGCAGGGTTTAAGAATTACAAACCTAACAAGAAACAATATTTAATATATTTAAGTAAAACGTAGACATTATTCAAAGTCAAATTTAAATTTAATTTATTAAAATGTATTAAAAACATTCAATTTAACAAACATGTCGTCGTCGATATTCCACATTGTTTGAAATTTGTTATGTTAAAGAATTACTGTTTTATTTAAATTCGTAATTTTAATAGCGATAGAACTAATTTCTCGGTGCAAATTTATTTTATATCCGTTAATAAGTCAACAAATTTGGTCGATGTTGACATACATAATTTGATCTAAAATATCAAAACAGAAGAGCGTGTTTTTATAGGAATATTTTGAAACAATCGGATATAATATACCTGGTTCTAACTAAGTTTTATTATTGGTTTTATATTTAGTTCATAATTAGCAAAATAACAAAATTTAAAAAAAAAATTATATCTACTTTGTTAAATCAGCAAGAATGTAATATATGAAAACAAAAATAAATATGAGTGTGTAAGTAATAACTGTTTTGCACATATATAAAAATGTTTTATAAATTTTAATTATGTTGCATTAAATTCCGTAAGCTTGTTTTAAAGGTCTTTGACAATTACATCACCGGGGAAATATAGAAATAGCAATAGACTTGCCTCACAAAATACACTTTCTGACCTTCTACAGGTAAGAATAAATTTGTTTAGTTTATAAACTATAAATAGGTTTATTTCAATCGAGATTTTATTTCTTACTGTAATCCTTATAAGGCAATAAAAAAAATTGTTAGAGTTATAACAAGTAAATATTTTTAGTAGAATATGTAGGACATACCTAGTGTTTTAGTGTAGACTAAATATATTATTTAAAGGTAAAGGATCTTGGGTCATGTTTCAACGTGGGTGTACAATTATTTGCTTGATATGCAAAAAGTATGCATGTGCCCTTCGTGAATGAAGCAACATGTTTAGAGGTTAAACGGCACAAAAGTTTTTGGCTAACTAACTAAAACCCATTATTACATTATTATGAATTATTATTATTAATAAATTAAGTAGATGCAGAGTCGGAGCTGTCATGAGCGCCCAGGGCAGGATTTTAATTTTGCGTCCCTTAAAATTTCTTTCTATATATTTCTGTATAGGCTTATGAGTGATAATATGAAAATAATATGAAAATTGTTTGAAAAAAACTCGAGTCTGTGTAGATGAATACACAATTTTGTAATAACAGTTATAACATGGAAATCAAATAACAGTATTTAAGTTTTTTTAATATTATTTATACCTGTAAAATGAACAAATATTCCAATACATATTTTTAATAAATAGGAATGAAATTTAGGTGATTTTGCAAAAAAATCGGAGTATTCTGGATATTATTTAGTTAAAGATTGTTTAAGATAGTCGGCAAGTTTTATTAGCTGTCGACTGAAAGTTTTTTTGTAGTAATTTTAAACAATAAATAGACAATTTGCATTTGCAATGACTTTCCAGAAACTTATCTGTTCGATGTAGTTTTTATGCTACAAGCTCACAATATTTTAATGCTGCTAAAGTAAATTTAAACGTCAAAAATTAATGAAGATTTGAAGATAAATTCGAATAGATATTGTAATTTTTCATGATTTTGTCAAATTTCGTTATTGGTTCGTGAATTTTGACTTTTAAAAAGTCATACATTTGACGGAATTTGTATCATGGATTATTCTTTGCCCTGGGAGAAAAATGCTTTAGCTTTATTTTTCAATCAATCAATCAATACCTCTGGGATTTTTATTTAAAAAAATCTGCAATCAAACTAAAGGATTCCTTTACTGTTTAACCTTTGATACACCCCTGAATTTTTTAAACGTTAATGTCTTTTTTAATATGTATGGCATTTATTATTATTTTTAACCTAATATGATATTCTATAACTTTTATAATATTCTATAATAAAACTCTATAATAATTTTTAACCCCATTTCAAGTAAACCAGTTTTATAATATACTGTACGAAATATTTAATTAAGGCTTATATCATTATTTTAACATCTTAGAGATAAAAGTTTTAAATCGCCTAAGGTTACATCCAAAGCTGTGTAATTATGTTTTTATGTTAATTAGGTTTAGATAGATTAAAAAGTTATCATTACATTTTGTTGTATAGTTTTTTATGGCAGTTTTATACCAATGACTTGTACTACTGAATAATAATATCATTGTATTTTTCTAGAAAACGCGGGAAACGAATTTAGCTGCATTTAGTGGGCGGTCAATCCATTAGAGATTATCTTATGTTACCTAAACTATTTAAACAATTCCAGACACAATAAACAATGATATCACATCACTAAACACTAACAAAACAACTTCTTATCGAGTGCTTCACTTCACAAGGCAAAACACGAGTGAGTTCATTCATAAAAATTACAGGCGAGATTTCGGAGAAACGTATTCCTTGACATCTGGGCACCAGTAGTAGGTACCGTACCGTGGTACTGAATTGTCCGACTGTCAGAAAGCAACTACCTCAACAATAATAAAACGTCGAGCTGCAAGGACGCATAAATAATGAGGTTGGTCGGTTTGTGATCTGGTGCCGCGGCACTTCCACACCGATTCCTTTTTATCTGCTCGCTTCGGTTCTGTTGTGACTTCTGATCGTCAGTGTGCGTCGACACAATCTGGCACTTAAATGCTTAATTGAACATGACAAATCGGTATCGAGAAGAAGATGTTTATTGGTGTTTATTGTCGAGGATTTACAGAATCATGTGTTGATACACTGTTATAAAAATCAGAATTAATTTTATTAATTTTATTTTGTAAAATTTTAACATAATTTTTTGTAGAAAACCAGGGTTGGTAATTATTTTAACAAAGGAAAATATTTTATTAAAGTTTTGTAAAGGTAATATGCAATTTTGTAATTATTTTGTTAATTTCAAAGGTTACAGATTATTTTGTTAATGTTTAACAAACTATTTTGTTAAAAAAGTATACGGAGTTTCAGGCAGTCAATCATTTCCCACTGACAATACGCATCAACACGTTCAACTGACTTCAGCGTCTGCAACTTATGTTTCTGCTTACTTAATTTGAATTCGTAACGTACGTGTTCGTAACAACTGTCCAGAGTATTTATAATATATAACAACTGTCCAGAGTATTTAAAATATATTACCAGAAATCTCTTATTATTGTTATTCGTATTCCTTATATCTTTTAACGAGTGTGCGAAGTATCCGAAAAAATATGTTTTTAAACTGAAATTAGAGGATACAGTGGAGCGGGTTAAATTTACGAAATACACCAGTGTGTTGCACTAGTACCGATTTTACCAAATTTCTTTATAATTTAATGATTTTAGAATAGTGATATTTAATTGTACACATGTGTTTGTTATTTTTACTGTGTGAAGATATTTGTTAATTTAAATTTTTTTAAATTAATGATTAGGTAATATTTTGTATGATGGATTTTAAATGTTGATTATTAAATTTTTATCACAAATGATGCCATTAAGTTTTTAGAAAAACTACTATAAATAATGTTTTTATTGAATTTCACAGTGTCCAAAATGAAGATCACTATAACATTGCTAACTTCATTATTATTGGACACTTTAAAACAAACCCGGTTAAAATCGCAAAAATAAATAAATATTTTACAGTGGTGAAAATGGGCCACACTGTATATATAAATTATAACAATATTAGACAAATTAAGACCCTTTCTTGAAATGTTTTTTTAATGTATCCCTGTATAGTTTGTCTTTCACTATTAAAATGGCATATGTCAACAATAAATGGAAAAGGTACAACAAAACTAAATAATGTAAGATTTTAAAAATTGAGAAAACTAAAATGATTAAAATTATAAAATGATTAAAATATCTTCATTAAATTTTAAAGATTCCTATGATAACTATTGTTTTAAAGATCTAAAAACAATTATAATATCGAAACCATAGAAAATAAGATATTTTTATTGAATATTGCATTATATTTTATTAGGCTTTTACAAACACGATTTTTACCTTTACTTGTGGTTTTATTTTTTATTATCAATTTATGTTTTTATTTATGTATTTTTTATCTTTGAATAATAATAATTACATGTCATGTATAATTTCGTTTTTTTATTTATAAATTTAAAAATATATATTTTTAGTTATAAAAATGGAATTACAATTTTCTCCAAAAATTGCATATATAACGAAAACTATTTGAATTATGTAAACATAGTTTTTCTAGCAAATTTTATTGTTTTACCAGTGTTGTAAAAATAATGATAAAACGCTTTGGTAATAATTGATGAAAAAATTTAAATTTCGCACATTTAATGTATCCAGTTAAGTACTTAATATAATAATATATTTTTATGTACAAAAGGGTGCACTGAAAACAATTTTTGACAGTTATTTTTCCGCTATTTATTCCAGTGAAATTAGGGTTTTACTTCCGACTATTTCCCTCGTCTTAATTTCCACCAATCACAAACGCGCAATTTTGAATTACAAATGGTTTCTAGGTGAAAAAACTGTGTGACAGCACCTGTCAGCAGTTTTTTCGAGTTTACCCGCGGCAAAACATGACAGCTGCTGTCACCAAAAATTGCAATTTATATTTTAATTGTTAACTGTTACTCATGAAATAGTCTTGTCAAATACCATTCGGGCATCTAATTTTTCCTGTGAAAAAAATCGAAAAAACACAATGCTAAGTAATATTTTTTAACAAAATGCATTCGTGCAGGTGCAAAAATCCTCCTCTTCGACTCGGATTTTTGTTGCCACCAGCACTCATGCTTTTTATTTAAATATTACTTAGCAACGTGTTTTTTCGATTCTTTTCGGAAAAATTAAATGCCCTTATGATATTACTTACGACAAAATCCCAGGTAAGATTTTTCTGCGGAATATTGTTTATATGGGACTAGTTATAATGTCTCAAAAGTTCCAAGAGAAATCGTGACGACGCGCATTGCTAAAGGTCAAAGGTTTCTTTGAAAAACAACTTAAGTAATGTTTCCCGATTTTTTTTTTCGTTTTAAAAATAGAAGGTTTTAAAAATCCCTTGTCATCTGTAAACTTGACACCTGTCAAAGTGTTGCTCGATATTATACGAAAACAATACATACAATACATATACAATAATTATATAGGATTTTTTTTCAAAATTTTGTATCTCGAAAAAATTTAAAATCGGATGAAAACATTTAAGTTTTTTATTGTTTTTATGAGTAAAATACATCCTTGAAATATTTCACTTTCCTCCCGACTCAACTTTTAATATAAGTAATTTTAATGACCAGGCCAAACTTTTTGCGACTATAGTAATTATGCATAATTTTAATTTTACAAACTTAATCTGCAATAACTTGCTTTTATGTTATCATCTACAGAAATTACCCTATTGGTATTCAAAATCGTCTCCATCAACTTTCATCATTCATTTAATACATAGGTACATGTATATACCCTGTAATGCACAAGTTGTACAGATATATAAATTCTACTTTATATTCTGAAAATTCTCTGCACGTCCAGGGAATATTTTTAAGTAAAACAGAGCAAGACTGCGATGTTTTAGATTACAAGAAAATTACAAGCGTTGTTTTCGGGCCCGGGGCCAAATCAGATTAGCAGGCTACGTTTGCATTGCATTGTTAGCAACCACCTGACTGACACAGTGTTAAAATGCCACCAGGGCCAAATAATCCAACTAGAATTATTCAAACCACTTAACGTTGCACACGACAACAAAGGAATGCATGGTTAATTTAAATTGTAAATATTTAGGTAAGGGTTGCTTACGTTTTAATAGGACAGGTAAACAATGGATGTTTGGAAAAACTAGTCATATTTGCTGTCCAACTTTTAATCCCTACTCTGTCCAAGATCATAGTAATTTACTGAGATTTTAAGCTTTTAAGTAGGGGTAAAAATATTAGAGTTGATTTGTAAGTGTGAAAGTTACACTACAAAATACACTAGGTAGCATTTAGTGCTTATTAACTTTATTAAACACATTTAAAGAATATGGACATTATTCATTGGTATACCACTCGGTAATAAACCACTCGCATTAAGTTTTTCTACCCTTTTGATTTATTTTAATAATAAATAGTGTGAATGTATATATATATATATATATATATATAATGTATACATTCACACTATTTATTATTAAAATAAATCAAAAGGGTAGAAAAAGTTAATGCGAGTGGTTTATTACCCCTTAATGTGTTAAATAGTGACAATAAATAGTGACAAAATGTACACTACAGTGCATGCCAATTTCTTTGTCTGTTTTGATGTTGCTAAGAGCTCTTTTTCTTTACACTACTAGTGCCCATTGTATCACAATTAAAGTTAAATTACACCAATAGTGGCAAAATAGACTGAAAAAACTGGTAATGACCGAAATGCGTTTTAAAATGTTTGGTTGGTACCTATCTACCTATAGGTATACGCAGTGCATGTCCGGAGATACCACGTTGTGGAAGTGTGGCATTTTTGTTCAGTTAGATTTTAATTACGGTGAATCCATAAGGGGACATTCTTATTTTTTGGTAAGTATTATACTTCCTTTTTCTTTAAGCCTTAATACTCAATAAATACCAATATGTTAAAAGATTTTCCATACCCGATCTATATTATATATCAATAATTTACGGCAGTAGGTCGGGTACTTGTAACATTAATAATATAAATACATACACACTTCATTTACCTTTTATTTTCAAGCGTAATGGTTGATATATTAACTTCTACCTACATTTTTATTAATATTATTGAAAGTTTGTACACGTGTGGTAAATCCCCGACATACAGCCGCCTGACGCCTCTCTACCAATGGGATCACCCATTTTTTATAAGAGAAAAATGGATTACTGATGAATTCTCAAGATAATTCATTGCTTACAAGTTGACAGCCAGTAAAACATTGCATTGATCTAAAACTTTTACGTTTTAAGGAACCATTTTGCTTAAGCCAGCCATACGACTCAAATATAAAATTATATTTTAAAAGGCACCGATTTTGATAATTGTCATAGATTTTTGTTCCAAATAAATGTTCCTCTTTATTTACCTTTTCGTTTTATTCACTACCACCAATAGATTTTACTCAAATAATAGTGTTAATTTACACTACAAGTTTGCACTAAAAGAGTAAAAGTACCTTTCTAAAATTAGAACTTTTCCAAAGTAGTGTTAATTTACACTGAACAAAAGTGGGATTTTACCCAGGAAGTGTAGAAGTACACGATTTTAGGTAAATTAACACTTTTTAATACAGTGTAAAATTACTTTATCCTCGGTACAATATATATTTAACACTATAGTGTTAAATCATACTTGCTTACTTGGGGAAAATTACACTACAAATTAACTCTAATTGTGTGAACTCTAATTAGTGTTGCTTAGAGTTGATTTTTTTTACTGTGTAACACTACGAATATAATTTGCGATTTATACACCTTGTCTCACAGTGGGTTCCGAATATAAGAAACAAATTGTTATTCATTTTCAACGACAATCTTTTTTACATAAACCCTTGACTTTTTAAGATTTACTAAATATTATTTAGTTACACAATTTT